TCTTAAAAATATATAATAATTATGTGGTAATGTGTATACATTTTATTAACATTAATTCTAAAATAGTAAAAATAGAAAATTTCTTATTAATTTCATTGTAAAAGTACAATCAACACACTGGTTACTACATCATAAATGTAAATTTGATTAAGCCTTTCCCATATCTATATATTCGGTTTACTTACAATTTCTTAATTAAACAATTTCGAATTGTCACGTTTCCAGGAACGACACAAAAATTGATATTTACCGGACATTGGTACGAGTTGAAGTTTGTTTAAACGAGGAACACTTCATTTTTTAATTAGAGATAGAAGAGCGTGGCAGAAGCTCGAGAAGTCTAACAGTCATTCAAAGGCACTTCAAGAACAAAAAAAAACAAAGTGTAATTATGATGCAAGACGTCATTCGTTCCATGTACGTATGTAGAAATTTTTTTCTCTTTCATGTTTCCACATTTCAAACTTGTACTTCAGACTTTAAATGCAACGTGTGTGACAACTGACAAAAAAAAGAAACCTATTTTCCCTCGATATCGAGATTCGTGAAATTTTGCGAAACACGCATCGAGTATTCTGCAATTTTTCCATCAACGTATCGTCAATTTCGGCTAAACAGGTGAAATAATATTTTCAGACGAAATATCTCATAATGTTTTCGCGAAATATTCTTAACCCGTTAACCGGGGAAGACGAGTTAACTCGTCACTGATTAGCGAATACAATAATTGATTTATCGAGGGATTTATTCTTCTATTACACTGTTATGCCTGTAAAACACATTATAATCACATTTTGCAAGAACCAAGACGAAGCAAGCATTTTTAATTATAAACTAGAGAGATTCAATTTCTGTTCGAGAGATGAGCAAGGTTAACAGGTCAATTGTTCCCTCAGAACTGTGCCGCAACGTTCAAATCTTTTTCTATCCGAAAATATCAAATAGCTACGTCGCCTCGACGAGATAGAGTTTAGCTGACGCAAAAACCTATTTTTACTCGCGTGCATTTAATGTTATTTAACGTGCATTTGACATTAAAAAAAAAGAGAGAGAGAGAGAGAAGAGTATTACGTACACCTGCAATACCGGCGCAGAACCTGGCGTTTCGCGCGTCACATAAGTGTCGCATTTAGGTAAATTATTCTTTTATTAATCGTTATATTTAGTTGAATCTTATTTCAAGCGACGTCAGATCGATAACGTTGCAGCCTTCCAGAATAAAAATTAAAGCGCTCTAAAGTGCAGAAAAAGGAGGAACTCCCACGGAGACGGAAGTTTCCAGATATTTATGGCGCTTTAGGGGAAATTTATCGTATTGAATATTTGAAAAATACAAGCTGGCGTGTATTTTTTTTTTCTTTTTTTAATTCGTTGCATAAAAATCGAAGTTTTTAATAAATAATTCGCTTTTGTGACTGAAGAGTATATTTTTATCGAATAAAACTTGAACATTTTATCACGACTAAAGCAATTCAGTTATTTAAATAAATTATTAGAACAGTTAGAGCTAAGCTAGCATTTTCTTTTCTGCACGCGACGCGCGAAAGAAATTAATAAACTCGTTCCTTCAATTATTTGAAATCATCGCCGTTGCAAATAGTTCAATTCGCGAAGCTGTAAAGATTTAATTAGGCTAAAAAGGTTTAACCTTAATCTTTTTCTTATCACAAGCCCTAATCATTTTGCCACTGCTTCCCACGTTAAAATTTCCATAATAATGGAATACGTAATTTATAATTTATCGTGAACTCTGCTACTCTTTGTTTTTTTTTTATAACGAGCAATCAAGAATAAACAGGGCTGAAAGTCATTTTTAGAAAAGTGAAATAAAAACAGTGAATTCTTGCAGCGGGGTCCGAAGTTTTACTATCGAGATTTTATATTTCAAGCGTCCCGACTAACTCAATAAATGGAAAGAAATGCGTTTTGTCGGTCAATTAGTGCACAGTTCGGTGAGTGTTGCAAAATTGATTTTCAATTCTCTTTGCCGCTGGATGATTATCGTTACGAGGCTATAATTACACGTAAAAGCAGAGATGTTTGTAGTCCAACTATACTTAGAGGAACAAGAAATAATCTGTAGGATAAAAGAGCAGAAAATTCACCGCAAATATCGATTTCTTCTTTTCTCTATCGTGTATTGCAATAATTACTCAATTACCAAAGCAACAATTTTCTAACTTCACCACGGTAGAAGGCAAGTGTATTTCCAATTCTAAAAATTCATTTCTACGTTAGTTTTCAGATTTTAGTATCTTGTAGTTTTAGAATTCGTTAGCTATACGCAAAATTCCTCTTCAATTAATCCGAATTAGCAGGAATTTCCCTGCTCCCTTATCCTTTTCTCTTTCCATTTTGCGTATAATCGCCGAATCCTCGTTAAGCTCTAAGCTTATAATTCGAATAAAGGTATTAAACGATAAAAATCCGAAGATTAATCCGGATTTACTATATTTTTACCACCTACTACACGGTTAATTTAAATTTTCTACATCGACAGGATTTTCTTTCTTTTTTCTCGTATCAGTGAATATCGTTTTAAGATTTCTCCCCGTTTTTTCGTTTATTTCCACTCGACGAATTCGCCAACGCGAATGCTAATTAATTTGATTAATTCATCGGCAACAAGTTCTGTTCCCAAGTTAATCCGGATTAACGGGAGAGCTCGCGATACGTTTTCCTCGTAATTACGCTAACAACAAGGTATACTTGAAAATTGCTCACCAAACATTTGATTGAATATTTTATCGAAGGTAACTTCCTTCTTCTTTTCCAGATATTTGTGCATTACGCTTCTCACACTGCAACAGAAAGAAGTACGCGTGTGTAACGATTATATTCGGATAATTAATTGCTATCTGATTGTATAAATTACAATAGAAATATCTAATGCAATGATCGTTATTTCAATTCCCTTCTACCCTTTCGATAACATCTTCAGTATCAACTTATGTCATGCTCGTAATTATGATTAATAAAATTATAAACATCAATCAGTGGTGTATTGTGATTTTATTTGAGAAAGGAGAATCACCCGAAGGGACGAATGTTTATTTCAAAGAAATACGTTGAAAATGTGAATTTCTTCCATCGTGTTCTCTTCTTTTTCTTTCAATAAAGATATTATATTATATGTATATTTTAGTAAGAAAATTGAAAATATGCAGAACCATTTGTGTGAAATGTGAATTCTCGGTTGTGATAAATTGCGAACGTTTGTCAAAGTCGTTTCATAATAGTGGCCTATGTATTACGCAAAGATAAAAGGTTCGTTCGGTAATACACTGCAAATATAGGGTCGAATTACCTTTGATATTCTTACAGTTTTCAACGTAGTACGCACGATTTGTTACTAGACAGGATTATTCTTATTTTTCGAACAATTCTTCACATTTTCTATTACGAGCCTCTAAATGTATGCAAAACGAAACAAACTTCAGTGGCGAAAAAGTGCTCTGTTATATTCTCAACGATTTGTAATTTAATAATGCACTTCAACGGTGCTTTCTGGACACTTTCTTTATAAACTAAACTGACAGACACAATTTATTGTTATAAAGACACTGTCACGCGAAATTCTAAATGATTAGACAGAACTACTGTATGGAAAAAATTACAGTTGAAATTTTTTCGTCGTTTTATAATCAACAGCATATAAGTTTGTCGTTATTTGGCAAATGAATAACTCTAGAGAGAATAACGTAACTTCTGTTAACCTGTGACTGTGACTATGCTTTATCCCTTGTGCGAGCAACTAAAATGTTCAGGGTTGTTTCAAGCTTCAATGTTTAAAATTTTTTGCACAAATTTAAAAAAAATGTTTAAATGTTTGAAGGAAATATAGAAATGGTTGCCCATGTAACGATAAAATTAAAAACAGAGATATGAACCGAGTAATCAATTTACTTGAAAAAGAAGAGTCATTTAAACATAACGAGGTAACTGGTTTTCGTCAATTAAGTAGTTAATACGTGAGAAAATATTCTGAACTGAACCTAACCTAACCTAAAAATAATGAAATAAATACCTATAAATGTATATCAGTGGCCCCTAAAAAGCTAAATAAGTGTATACCCAATCTGATTACGTTTTCTAATTATAAGAGCTTTGTGCTGTAATAAGTTGTATCTCAGTACCTAAAAATTATGAAATAAATACCTATAAATGTATATCAGCGGCCCCTAAAGAGCTGCAACCCTTCCAGCATAAAATGAAAGTTCCTGTTTTATCGTCGTCGTAATTAAATTTATATACTGGGTGTTCCAGATCTAAACCGACAAACTGCCAACATATCTGGGAGATCAATTTGAGAAACAAATGTTGTATACACCACGAAATATAGACTATCCTCGGTAAATCTTTTTGTACGAGGTTGCATGAAATGGAGGGTGAATTTAGACAGAAAACCTGGTAGCAAAAATCAAATAACGATCTTGCTAATATTCAGGGGATGCGATAAATGAAGGCACGCCTACTTGCGTGCTTAGAGACAAGAGGTGATCATTTTGAACATCAGTATAAATCAGTGTAAAAAACAGTTTGAAATAAATAATTATCATTAAAAGTTCAGTAGCTTGAATGTATCTGATTATTTATTTTACACTACTTTTCCCTTTCATATCTCGAAAACAAAGACGAATCGACCTACAGTGTGTATAACATGTTTCGCTCAAAATAACTTGCCGAACATGTTGGCAAAGTTTGTCGGTTTAGATCTGGAACACCCTGTATATTTACGTAAATGCTCGATATCGGCGATGCCATCGACTTTCTAAACAATTGCCTTTAGTTTTATCAATGATCTAATTTTTTCAATCCATATTGATATTATTTCACTTTTATTGCTACAGTCCCACCACTAGAAATTTTTACAGGAACTTTCATTTTATACTGGAGGGGCTGAAGCCCTTATGGACGAGCCGCCACTGGTTTTAAATGGCACCACATAATTTTTTCCACGCGACATTGTAAGTGGTATCCATACAAATTCAGCGATATCAGACAAAGTTGCTTGTCATCAAGGATTTCCCTTAGAAAATCGATCTTAAATGTAACAAGGCGCCTTATTAATACGTACGCGAAACATTAACGCAATTCGGTAATACTCGGTAATTGAATGTAAGCAGCAAACAGACTTGTCATAGATTTAACCTCTTGTTCACGTAATCGTATTATTATCGAATGCCTAATAAATGCTCCAACTGCATGTCGCCTTCCGCAACACAAAGTTCTGCTCTCCTCGTTAAATTTCGATGCGTAGCAAATATGAACTTTGTAAATCCATAGTTCTGCGCGTGCATGCATATACATATCTGATTACGAAGTTCCTCGATGCTGTTAATGAGAGTTTCATCGAAAGTTTATCGCGAATGAAATTGAAATTTTGAAGAATTACACGTTAATATTCTACTCGTGCATTAACGAGGCACCTTATTAAATTTAAGAATGATTTCCTAAGCAAGTTCTCAGAGAAGAGCAATTTTGTCTGATATCGCTGAATTTTCGTCTCAATGCCACTTTTTCCCTCTTTTTTCACCCTCTACTTGTCTACAACATTCCATCAGGGAAACGAAAACCCCAGGACGCGGCCATCGTACAGTATTTACACGAGCCACTTTAGCTGATTTAATAATAAAATATCAATAAAATAGCATAATAACTAAAAGTAAACAGAATAACAGTATCAATATAACAAAATTGGTAAGAGAAGATCGAATGAACAAGTATGCAAATAGATACGAAAACTGGCTAGATCAATAAACGTCTCCGTGCCATTTAGAATATTGGATGGAAAAAATTACATAGAGTGTGTTCCGTTTTACTAGAAACGGTGAAGTATCAAAGTCAAGTTAATTTTTTTAAATGGCACCCTATATTTTTTTTATTAATAACATGGTAAGTTCTTTGAGACGAATTGAACGAAGTGCCACACGAAGTCATTTCGTTTTATGAAAAATCAGGGAGTCAGGTCAACATGTGGCGCAAGCTTTCGGCCAGCTAAACCCTGCCCGACTGTGCTACTAATACAAATTCTCCGCGGTTTTACAACTTTCCATAAAACGAAATGACTTAATGTGCCACTTCGTTCAATTCGTCTCAACAAACGCTACAATATTAAGAACAGAAAAATACAGAGGTTCCATTTAAAAAAAAAATTAATTTGGCTATATCTCCTCCACTACTACAGCTACAGAAAAATTATTTATACCACCTAATGTCCTCCTATATACCCAACAAATTTTGTAAGAGCATTTTTTTGATAATTTCAATCTCTCCTGAGATATTCCACCGTTTCCAGTTAAACTGAACACCCTGTATATGGAGCCACTTGAAAAAGTGAAAGTAACCGTGATTTCTTATCGAATAAACGGTGTTTCGGTCATTTTCATTGCTGCAATTTGTTGCTGATTGAGTGCCGACTAATTTCCCTTTGCAACTTTGTTTCTCGAGCGCCTGAAGAACGATGGCGACCATGAACACCCTGTATAGTTTATGCGGAACAAGTGTGTGCTACTTTCAGATCATCCCAAATGTATAACCTGAGATATTCCACCGTTTCCAGTTAAACTGAACACCCTGTATATGAAGCCACTTAAAAAAGTGAAAGTAACCGTGATTTCTTATCGAATAAACGGTGTTTCGGTCATTTTCATTGCTGCAATTTGTTGCTAATTGAGTGCCGACTAATTTCCCTTTGCAACTTTGTTTCTCGAGCGCCTGAAGAACGATGGCGACCACGAACACCCTGTATAGTTTATGCGGAACAAGTGTGTGCTACTTTCAGATCATCCCAAATGTATAAATTCTTGGCAACATTGTCAGCTTACAGTTGTGCATATGTATCAATTTAGTACATAAACGCGCAAGCGTGGCTATCTGCATGTTGCACACTGGTGTAATCATTTTATTATCACATTTATTCGAAATTCTTGATTAAATTAAGATCGATGGTTTATTTGTATAGAAATTGTAAAAGAAGAAAAATTTAATTATATTTTAAACGAAAAAGTCCATCTTTAAGGATGCTGAACTAATCTGGTACGTTTGTGCGTCACAGCGATAACGGTTAAAGCCTGATTCACACTAACGGTCAAAGGTACGGTCAGATAACGATTGGTCACAATCTAGGATTTTACCAAGGCATTCACACTCAACGATTAGAAACAATCAAGTCCTGTCGCAGTCACTTTTATTTCTGTTCGTTCGTTCGAGGAATAATTCTATCAAATATTCGTCATCCATGCTTCTTTTCGACTGTTCTCAGCAGACGATCAAGTCAAATTCTAGCAAACCGACTTCATGGTTAACAGATTTTCATTTGACCTAACCGAATGGCGTACTGTTAATACTCTCACTAGATTACGCGTGAGCGATGCTGACCGTACCGTGACCAATAGTGTGAATCAGGCTTAACTTTCGCGACGATTAAACGACGCCGACTTCACCGGGTTTAATTGGGTGAACACGTTTTGCGAATTGAATATATCGGACTGTATTTTTGGGTGTAATAAGTAGCACACTTTTGTTTACGAGACTATGTATATTTTTACAGAGTGTAATGTATGAGTGCGTCTGTACGTTGTTGATGGCGTACCGTCGATGTAAACTTAAGGGGGTACACTACCTTGAGGCGTCTAAAAATAAGCAAAGTTTGGAAATTTCTTTCATAGGGTACTAAACGAGAAGTTTCAATTTTTGTCAGAGGATGGAAGTGTAACTTTCAGCTCCCTTCTCCAATTTTTAAAAAGTAAAAATGTTACAAAATGGAGGAGTTATTTGCTAATTGCGAAATCTCTTCTGT